CCCTTTACTATTTTGCCCCTTCCTCCACCTTTCCTTTACTATTTTGCCCCTCAGTAAAATTTTATTTTTAAAATTGTTGTTTTTTAATTTTATTCATTTATAACATATTTCACTGATAACCTACGTAGTTTCTTGTATGAGTAAAATATTTTTCTACAAAGCTTGGTGATCGTGAAAAGAATTATCAAACAATCTTCTTCTTGTTCTCGGTGCAGTACGTGGTGCAGTGCGTTTATGGTGTAGTGTCCTTGTCGTGGTTCCTCTCCAGGTACGTAGTCATAATCCTTCCAATAATCCTAAACCCTAAATCCTTCCCATACTTCCAATAATCCTTTTAATATCCAAGCCTATAATCCTTGCATGAGCCGCAAAACGTAGTAAAATAAAAACGAAACGTAAAAGGAACACTGCCTATGGACGGATGACATCCTTCAACGGATGTCAACATCCGTTTAAGGCAAAACGGATGTCGACATCCGTTTAAGGAAAAACGGATGTCGACATCCGTTTTGCCTTCAACGGATGTTGACATCCGTTGAAGGATGTCATCCGTCCAGAGGCAGTGTTCCTTTTACGTTTCGTTTTTATTTTATTTGTTTATTTTATTTACAGTAATTTATATTTAAATTTATAATTTTAAATGTTATATATGGTTAGTTTTTAAACGTAATAATTTTGTTAAAATATGAATTTGTTAAAATATGAATTTGTTATAGGTGGAGAAGAAGCTTAACGGAAGAGAGAAAGGTAAACGAAAATGGAAAAGAGGAAGAGGTGCAGAGGGAAGTAAATCAGAAGTTTTAAATAAATTAAAATATTAAAATAATAAAAATAAAAAATTTTAACTTTTAAGGATATAATTGTCATTTTAGAAGGATATAATTGGCATTTTAGAAAATTGGGGAGGTGGAGGAAGAGACGTGTGGGAGTGGAGGGAGTAACACCCCACTCTCTTAGTGGTAGTATTGGCCCAAAGCCCAACTCCAAGGACAAAATAAAACTGACTAAGAATTATCTTCCAACCAAACCCTAACGTTAGCCATTTTCGATTTTGCAGGTAAAACTTGGAAAGCTTGGTGTATGTGATTTACTAAAATAAAAACCGTTAAGGTTTTTAAGTTGTTGACGTTGCTGTTTAATGGAAACCCAGAATTTGAATTTCGTTATGGAAAACTTTAATGAGATTATTTTGAAACTCATAAAAAGAAAAAAAAGCTATGAACATTGGTCTAATATTAATATGTTGTATGGATTTGAACTATAGTGTGGTGCGATTTGGATCTCCATGTCCTGCATCACAACCTCACTTAATTTTCTTGAATTCTAGACAGTACTATTTGAAAAGAATAGTAAGGTAAAATTTCATGTATACACTATACAAATTTGCACCGAAATAAAATTACTAATGAACTTCAAGTAATTCCTCTGTGTACTTGGAAGAATAAGTTCAAATATGAAATATATAAAACTATTTTCATCATAATTGACTGATACTGCAAGTTCAAATTAGGCAAAAATATTGAACATTAAAACAATTTTGGATCACAGATGTTCTGAATTTAACTTCCAAATCACTTATTTGTGGTCTATTAAATGAATTAATTGGACAATTCAATAATCACTCAATTAAAACACCTTTAAAAAACTCAAAGTATAAATGGAAATATTGGATCGATTTATAATTTTAATCTTTTGCAACCAGTAAATATTGACATCTACAAAGTAATAACGATGAGAAGTATAACAGATGTAATGTAGTAAAAACCTTCTAATTGCAGAGCAAATAAGGCAATCACGGATAACCCATTTCCGTACAATAATCAAGCAAACGTAAGATCAAGTTTAGCAAAAGAAGATAGTTAGTCAACATTTCAAGCTACGAAGAAACAACCAGAACTTTCAACAAAAAAATGAAAATGTCTGTTATCAATTAAAACACTGTTCAATATGACTAAAGAAAAACACTAGAAGTTCTGATAGCAAAATTTCAACATGCCATTTAAGTTTGGTATGGAAAGTAAAATATAGCAACTCCAGTATTTAGAGCCTTCTACCTCTTCTGCCACTCTTTCTACGAGTGCTATCCGAAGGAATGGGTGTCACGTCCTCTGAAAAAGCAAGAATAATAATTAATATTTCATCTAACAATCAAATGCCATACAAATGAAATCAATCTGAAAACACAACGACAATGAAACATGAAAAGAAAAAATAACTGCGATTCGAAGTGAAGTTGCCCCAGCTGTGAACACAATATTAGAAACATAAACAGCACAAAATATGAGAATGTTTTTCACTAAGAACAAATCAATGATTTTCATAAAAAGGGAAAATACCTATACGACCGATTTTCATTCCTGAACGAGCAAGGGCCCTGAGAGCTGATTGGGCACCAGGACCAGGTGTTTTGGTCTTGTTTCCGCCAGTTGCACGGAGCCTGATATGAAGAGCAGTTATGCCCAGTTCCTGCTCCAGAATAATATGAAAAACTGCATCAATCTTGACAACTTCACAGATATAGAGTTTTCCCTTTCCATGACCATAAGAAATAGACTAGTTATACTATACTGGCTGACTAACAAAATGATCGTGTAAGCTATCTCGGTTAATACAAGTAAAAGCAACGTACCTTGCATCTGGC